TTTTTTGAAATAACCTCTAAAAAGTAGGCCGGCACATGAGACTACATCCTTAATGTCCTGACAGCAGTATTTTCGACTTTAAACATCGCATAAAACACTTTCAGCCGAAAAACACAAAGGCAGTAAAAAGGGAAAATTACATGCAGAACAAGGTCAGCAGACCAGAGGCCCCACAAGGCAAAAAGGACCAATGGACCGGCGGACTGAGGGACTAAAGGACTGAAGGACTGTAGAACTGAACGACCGTAGGACCGATGGCCAATATATCACATGACGCCTACAATTTAAACTGCCAAAAAAATGAAATGCAAACTGGGCGAACGAAGAGAAATGGCAAACATTTATATAAATAACACCATCGACTCCAATTAAAGCAGTTTGCTCAACGAGCGTTTGGTTGCAAGGGGGCGAATGTTTTTGGAGGGAGGGGCAGGTAGGGGAGGGGAGGTTGCCTCAGCTTGTGGCAGAAGCTTTTCGACTGTCTGTGCGTGATAAAAACCGCAAAACGAATTTTTGTTTGTGTACCACTGGGTATGTGTAATAAAAATGCAAAACAAAGGCGTTCAAATATGTTGGCTTCTTTATTGTTCTTGTTGCTGTTGTTGTTGTTTTGCACTCCCAAGGGTTTGGCAGCGTGGGCGTGGCCCTTGCAGCGTTAAAAGGCAAAAAAGAGGGCGTGGGCATGGAGCCTGGTGGGGCAGAGGAACAACCAAACCACTTCCAAATGTCATTCGCAGGCGAAGCAATGACGTACACTGGCTTGCAGGATGAATGAAACCGACACAGATAAAGTATCTGAGAGATTCAAATCGAATCTAGGATTACCCTTGAAATAAATTTTACTTCTTTTCAATTTTAGTTTAATATTTGAAGACATTTTTATCACACAGACACCTTTTCAAAAACATTTATGTACCTCTTATAACCCCCAAGATAATCTTAAATTTCTCCCCCTCTACATATTACAGATCTGTATCATCTATAACCCTATAGTATAGCAAACCCCTTCTACTTAACTTCCTTGAAATGTTGCATGCAAAACAGAACAACACAAAACCAACAAGAAATGTGGCTGCAACATTTGGCAGCAAGTGGCGAGTGCGACCAGGAAATAATAATTTATGCATGCGTTGTGGTAACTTGCCGGCTATGGAAAGGGTATAAAGATTGAGGGGACTGAGGGGAGCTTTGAGCTGGGGTAGTGCACCCCAGAAACCGCAAAATGTTTCGACTTGCCTCGCATTGCTTTTGTTGTTGTTGCAGTTGTTTACGGCGCGCAAAAAGTGAATCTGAGCTCCAGGCAATGCTGCATCTACTGCGGCCGCTGCTGCTGCTGCTGCAACCGGAAAACGGAAATTGTGGCCAGTTTCCCTCGGAGCTGCACAGCAATCTCCTCGCTCCACTTCTCAAGCCGCAGAACCACATGGACGCTGCCACTCTTCGGGGCTCAAGGATTTATGAACGGGGCACCGTTTAAGTCGCGCCAATCTGCTGGCACTTCCTTTGGCTTAAAATGCCTGCCACTTCTTCACCCACTCGCTTGCGGCTCCAAAAAGTACAACCATTTACAATTAAATTTATTTCATTTGCATATTTTACAGTCTTCAGCAGATTCTGCAAAGACCAAATGCATATTTTTCCTTTAAAAAATCAACAGTAAACATTTTTACACACATTCAAAAATTTTTCAAAGTATTCCTCTTAAGAAGCGTCTCATATTGGCCCTCCATGCATTTTTCCAAATTTTTGAAGGGAATCCTCCAGAAAATTTGACAAAAAATCAAAAAAATATTTTGTTCTGAAATTTTGATGCAGATTGGTGGAGAATCGATCCACAAATCGTTTAAGATACACCGCTCAAGAATCGGATGAGAATTAACAAAGATATGGCCTTCACTGTGGGCCATATTGTGCTCCCATGCATTTTCGGTATTTCTGAAGGGGATCCTCCAGAATATTTGACAAAAAATTTAAAAAATATTTTGTTCTGAGATTTTGATGCAGATTGGTGGAGAATCGATCCACAAATCGTTTAAGATACTCCGCTCAAGGATCGGATGATAATTGCCAAAGATATGGCCTTCACTGTGGGCCATATTGTGCTCCCATGCATTTTCGGTATTTCTGAAGGGGATCCTCCAGAAAATTTGACAAAAAATCTAAAAAATATTTTTTTCTGAGATTTTGATGCAGATTGGTGGAGAATCGATCCACAAATCGTTTAAGATACTCCGCTCAAGGATCGGATGATAATTGCCAAAGATATGGCCTTCACTGTGGGCCATATTGTTTTCGGTATTTCTGAAGGGGATCCTCCAGAAAATTTGACAAAAAATCTAAAAAATATTTTGTTCTGAGATTTTGATGCAGATTGGTGGAGAATCGATCCACAAATCGTTTAAGATACTCCGCTCAAGGATCGGATGATAATTACCAAAGATGTGGCCTTCACTGTGGGCCATATTGTGCTCCCATGCATTTTCGGTATTTCTGAAGGGGATCCTCCAGAAAATTTGACAAAAAATCTAAAAAATATTTTTTTCTGAGATTTTGATGCAGATTGGTGGAGAATCGATCCACAAATCGTTTAAGATACTCCGCTCAAGGATCGGATGATAATTGCCAAAAATATGGCCTTCACTGTGGGCCATATTGTGCTCCCATGCATTTTCGGTATTTCTGAAGGGGATCCTCCAGAATATTTGACAAAAAATTTAAAAAATATTTTGTTCTAAGATTTTGATGCAGATTGGTGGAGAATCGATCCACAAAACGTTTAAGATACTCCGCTCAAGGATCGGATGATAATTGCCAAAGATATGGCCTTCACTGTGGGCCATATTGTGCTCCCATGCATTTTCGGTATTTCTGAAGGGGATCCTCCAGAAAACTTGACAAAAAATCTAAAAAATATTTTTTTCTGAGATTTTGATGCAGATTGGTAGAGAATCGATCTACAAATCGTTTAAGATACTCCGCTCCGCAATTAGTTTTTGACAATATTTTAGTTTATGTTATTTCAAAGGGATAGGGACTGTATGGTACTTCTGTGAACACAATGCAGTCGCACAAAAAATAAATGTAGAAAACCTATCAGATATTACAGAAAAATAGGAATCGAAAATCAAACATATGAATTTAATTGCCTGAACAATTCTAATCAAGCTGTGCCGACATCAAGGCTATCAAAACTACACAAAAGGACGAAAATTGCTGATTGCATTTAATAAAAATATAATGTTGCCTCAATGGAACCGCGACCAACCACCACACAGAACATAGATGGGCTGAACAAAATGGAAAAAAGGAAAAAACATTAGTAGAATATAGAAAACATATAGCGGAGGAAATGGCAAACGAATGGACATCAAATGGAATCAAATCGAGGCTGAAACGCAAAAACTGTCGGCGACAATGCCAACTTAATTTCTCGCATTGAATCCTAGGAAAGGAGCGGCCCAGAGTGGCACCAAATTGACATATTGACAGCCAGACAAAAGGTCCAACCCGATGGGGTGGTGCTGGGGTTTGACGGGTAAGGTTAGGAGAGGGAAGAGTAGGGGTGTTGGTGGATGTGGTGATGCCTAGCTGCCTGGCTGCTGTTGCAGTGCAGTTTGATGGCGGCGTCAAAAATAAACAAACATTGCGACAGCAATAAAATATCAAAACAAGCCAAGGACGAGCTGCAGGAATTGGGCTGGGGCTGGGACTGGGGCGTGGGCATGGTTGAGTTTGTGGCTTAATTGAGGCAACAGCAGCAGGCCATAGAAAAATCCAATCAAAAAGCAATGAAAACAAGGATCAAGGAAGGAGAACATCCATCCATTGTACCCGGCAGCTGTAAACCTCAACTCGGTTGATGTTGATGTTATCCTAGCAAATAATTAAACTGGCACAGAAACACGGCCACAGAGCAACACACACTCGAACAGGCCGACAAGGACCTTGTCAAGTAGCCATGTAAGCGATACAGGACATTTGCCGAACCTAGATCCGGGCGGCCTCTTTCCTCTTGAAAATCTGCAATCCCAATTCCACTTTCACTTCCAGTGGCAGTTGCAATTGCAACGGGAGTATTTCAATGCAACGTGTGGCATCCACCCCTGACCTAATCCAATTTTCGGCACAAAGGATTAATCCTGTTTTTCTTTTCGCTTACCTCATCCTAATCTGAAAGGCAGAACAACACACAGTATGTACTTCTATTTAATTTAAATTTTGTTTCAATCGATCGAATTTTCTGATAAAAATCAGGAGGCTAGATATTCTATTTTGATGGCTGCCTTTGAGTGGCATGCCACTAAGCCCCCGCAAATGCCCCTAAGCTATTAATAAACACATATTTTCCGCCCTTCCCCCCACTCCCGGCACAACTAATTTTATGGTTCTGCCATCAAGCAAATCCTTGAACACCCTGGAACTACACCAGGCCAATCAAACCTCACCGCCTCTTCGCAGCATCGCATAAAAGCCACCAAATGTTTGCCACATAAAAACAAATAAGACAAAGCATATATAAGCCACGCCCACAGTGCCCCCAATGCCTCGTATTCCACCATACGCCCCCAAGATGATCAACAAAGGGAAATTTGTTAGCGTGTTATGTAAATGGCACACAAAGGAACAGAAGCCAGCCAGCCTGGTTGGATACATTATGTAAATAAAAAAATAATAAGCTCACACACCCGAATCCCGGAAAAACAAAGACCAAAATATATTATTTTCATGATGGCACTCAGAGATGGGGTACTGTCACGACCTAGTCCTTTAAGGAGTTGACGCCCTTAACCGATAACTTTTCTGTTACTTTTCGAATGATTAGAGCTGCCAAGTAGGCCTTGGATATTTAATAACTCATTGTATCCCAAATGACTGGAGCTTCAGTTTAGTAGGGTTTTTGTACGTAAGTAGAACAGTTGTATCAAAATTTTATATAAAAAAAAAAAACCAAAAAAAAAACCCAAAAATATAATTTAAAATAATATTTTCTATTTATTTTTCTTTTCAGGGGAGTGTCCTTGTCTCGAGTTGCCTTTGAACACAACACACAGACTTTCTCCTTCCACTCAAAATTAAACGGATTTCCGGAAACTGCATCCACTTCTAACTCAACTCTGACGGCCATAGAATGAACACCTATATGGGCCTCTTACGGAATCATGGTCGGCGCTTGTGGACACTACGGATGGATCGAAGGAGCTTCCTCTTCTTCCAACAGCACCGCCTGCACCACCCAGTCACAACGCCCACACCGACGCCGACTGTGGAGCGGCGGGGGATCGATCCCAAGTGCCGGTTCATGCAGTACCGCCGCTCAAACGAAACCTTCAAGCGCCTCGCCATGGTCTCCGAGGACGGCAGCAAGATGGTCGAGCTGTCCAGTCTCACCTGCGCCTCGCCCAACATGCAGGACTTCATCCAGCAGCGCTACGCCATGGACAACCTGCTGGACAGTGTGCAGTACATGAAGGTCGAGGATGTCGATGCTGTGGACTTTCAACTGCTTCCCCCCATCGAGTGCCCCAGCAAGATCATAGCTGTCGACTGCAATTACTTGGATAATTGCGATGAGCAGCACATCTCTATTCCCCGCGAGCCTGCCTTCCACGTCAAGTTCTCCAATTCCATCACCGGAGCTCTGGACCCCATCAAGGCCCCCCACTCCATGAAGCGAATCGACTACGGATGTCACCTGGCCGTGGTCATCGGCAAGAAATGCAGAGAAGTAACCCCCAAGGAGGCACTTAACTACGTGTTCGGATTTATGGTGGCCCAGGACATCGTGACCAAGGAGAGGAATGCCGTTCTAGGCGGTCACACGCTAGACACCTTCCTCCCGGTGGGGCCCATCATTCTCCACCGCTGCCACATGCCCGACGTCAACAACCTCTGGATCCGGACCCTGGTCAACGGCGAGATCCGGCAGTCTGGCAATACGCGGGATATGATCTTCAAGGTCGACTTTCTGATTCACCGTCTGTCTCACTGCCTCACCCTGTATCCTGGCGATGTCATTCTCACTGGAACGCCCGCCGGAGCTGGAGCCTACCAAAAGCCAACGCGCTTCCTCAAGCCCGGCGATCTCATCGAAAGTGAGATTCAAAATTTAGGAAAAATGTGCAATAAAGTCATCAATCCCTATGTCTAGAAGCGAGAAGATGAGGCTAAGGGATGACAGGTGACGAAAAAAAAATAAGAAAAATTTTACAAATTGACTTTAAAATTTTGAACAGAGAAGGATTCATGTCTAACGTATATAATGTTTTGAAACATATCAGTGTCGTATGTGTAACATATTCAAGTCGACGTTGATAAATCCATGTATGAACGAACGAAAAGTAGAGAGAACTGAGGAAAAAACACAAAAAAAATAATAAAATATTTATTATGCCCACACATAACACCTATGTATATCCTGGTATCCTTGAATCCTGACTTTTAACTGGGGGGTTTGGCCAATATTTGTAGAGAAGAATTAGAAAGCCTTGGTTAATAATCAAAAAACATACACAGCCCATCATCCAAAGGCAATAAATTTTTGCTTATGTGTTAACCAGGCCAGAAGCCTCAAAACCAGGTCAGAAGGCCTCCTAATATTGCAATACCGACAGAGTGACGGGTTCTGAAGCATCAAGAGCAGGAGCAGGAATCATTTTGTAATATAATTTGTTTTGCTCGATGGCTGGCAGGAATGGGATCCAAGATTGGGTGACTACACTTTTATGATACGCCCAAGCATAATCAACATTATCCTCAGAGAGTCACAAGCCGCAAGCCAGGCGCCTACAAAATGGGGGCCATGGAAAAGGACTCCCCGCGGTGAAAGCCACGGCGCATTATCATCTCATTGCACAGGACTTAATCCTGCGGCAAGTTATTAAAGCGTAACGCGTTTCGCTCGTTGTCCTTCCTCCAGAGTCCTGCTCCTCCCGCTCCTCTCGGATCCTTTTTATTGTTCGCGCTGCGCTTAACTTGTTTCACATTGCCGGCACTACGACGGGGCTTGAGGCTTGTGGTACGGGGGAGTAGGCGGCGACGCCGCCTTAATGCTAAATGATCCAATATCCTGTTTCCTGCATTTGTGCTCTGCAGCAGCGTTAAAAGGTCCTTTGTGGCCTCCTCCGACCAAGCCTCCGACCAGCCTCCACCGCTATTATTTGCCTTGGCCAACTTAAAGATGTTTTCCCTCAGAGCCAACTTGTCCTTCCTCTTCCTCAGAACAATTATTTGCTCAACGGGCAAAAGCGAAAGAAATCGGCAGCTGAAAAGTACTGGGGTGTATAATTCTTTTTCCTCCTTGTATCTTTTTCTTTGTGCCGCCCGGCACAACTTAAATAGCAGAATGTAAAGTTTTTAATTATGCAACTCAACGCTGATGTTGTCGCATTGTATGGATGCCCAAGGAGAGTGCCTGTCATTCCTCCATACTTTCCACCATAACTTTTTCCCGTTTATTCCAACTAGTGTGCTGGCCAAAAAACTTAAAATACACATAATTAGCCATAGTACTAAGTTGGCCTGTTTGCTCAGCAGCGATTGTCAAAGATACTTTGAGATATCTTTTGGGCTTAGTTGGCTGCCCCAAAAAGAACTAGGCCAGCGAGGCTTTGTTACGAACCAGCAGCTAATTAAATGATAATATTAATTGTTAACTAAAAAAAAAAAGAGAGCTCTCCACGAAATCAGGACCACAACTTGACAAGGGCCCTGATCCGGATCCTGGAAGGGGGACAAACATATAAAATGTTACATGTCGTAATATCCACCACAAGGAGCAGCTACCCGGAGAGTCACAAGCATGGCAGGAAACATGGCATTGAAAGCTGTTGCCAAACAAAACAGGGAACCGACCAAACACCAAAAAAAAGAAAGAAAACAAATTTTCCTCTCACACCCCCCACAACATAATCTTTTTAACAATTTTTTTCCAGGGCGGTACTGTTGTTGGATATGACACATATCCAGAGGATACTGAGGAAAGTCAATGCCCAAAGTATGCAGAAATTTGTTTTGTTTTCCGGCTCTTCTTTTCTTCGCTTTTGTGTTCCATAAGCCTGAAGAGGTGTGACATTTGAATGTATGTATATGTTTCAGCTTTGATCCTTAAAGGATAACCCTCGGGTGGCCAAAGCCAATTGCCAGGCCCGAAAATCTAAATAAGAACCCACAACAAACAAAAAGGAGAAACCCAAGGAAAAAATTCTGTGTTCTCGAGATCTCGGCCAAGAGGACTTCTTGAATTTCATCAGACTCCGCCACACTTGAGTTGTCAAAATCAGCAGAAAACTCCTCTTGAATGTGTTTTTGTGGGAAAATGTTATTTTCTTTTCATTTAACTGTCATGTATTTTGCATACGCCGCTCATGAAAAACTCTTGGCTTGTGTCGGTGCCAAATTGAATGTCGTGAACCTGAAAAACGTGGCATGCTGGTACTGTTTTGTTGCCTCATTTTGTGGCGTAGGTGTTGTGACATTTGACCGTCGCCGACTGCAAAACATCAAAAGGAGAATTTTGTTTATTTATATTCACATTTCATGGGGAATTAATCACACTTGAGGGAGAGGGATTTTTTGGGCAGTCAAATGACAAACTGCCACAACTCAAAATCGTATTTTAGGAAATAGAAATTGAAATAGAGTGCCAAAATTTGACAAAGGAAAGTGTTTCTTAGGAAGATAGTCATAAATACTACGGACAACTAAGTGAAAACAATATCCACCCCATACATGCTTTTAAAACCTCCTCACTTTAATATTGAATTTTAGAATGACTTTGTCTTATCCCATTCAGATCTCAATGAATTTATTGAAAGGCCTAAGTGATCTCTAATGGATTTAAGGACACGCAGTATCCCTCTGTGAAAAACAATTCCCTCGAATCCACCACGTGCCTTTTTTGATACAAAACCTAGTCGTGTCTATGGAAATCCTCTAACGCCCGATAATTATGCTGAATATTTTCAACGATAATTGCTTGATTTGCACAATGTGTGTTGAAGTTTTCATAATGGTTGCTCTCGGGGCATAAATTACAACACAACTTCCAAAAGGGGGAAGGATAGCTCTTTCCTGTGGCAGGCATGTGGTGCCCAAATGTTGCATACAGCCCCGAAGTCGAGTGGCAGATTGATAAGAATTATGGGCAGGGAGTGCGTTTCAGGAGGGGTAAGAATTAACACATTTGCGTTCGATCAGGATAATGATGATGCTGGGGTGCTTAGCCAACCCAAAGCCTGGCATCAGGAATCAGGATCAGGGTGGTTTTTCACTCCACAATTCCATTTTCAATGGGGTGTGCCAAAAAACAGTGGCAGCTGCTGTTGCGCAGTTTTCGGAAAACCCATTTTCCCTCAACGCATGCGTCAATCTAGATTTATGTTTCGGGATGCACTTTAATAATTTTCCACTCGCCATCGACATTCCATTTTATGTCCCGCATTGCCCTAAAAATTTCAATGCAGTTTGCTTTCATTTCGCAGTGCATCAAGTAGGAAAAACATTGACCCTGTCAGTTTTGAAGCACTTGCAATTATTTTAGTTTTGGGAGACTTTCCAATAAACCGATAGGATAACGATCTACATTATGAGGGTCTACTGTCCCTAGGATGGGTGTCAGCTGGACAGTTGAATTCAATGAGCCAGCTCCAGTTCGATTTGTCGACCATTTCCGGTACATAAATTAGCGTGGCCATGGTCAGTAATGTTTGTCAAGGAGATTAGAGTTTTAATGTTCTAAATAATTTAGAAAAAGTAATGGGTAGGGTCTAATATTTGAGTTCTATGTTCGATCTCTAGAATTATTTAGAGAAACAGCTCTAAAAACTAAAACCCATTTAATCAGTAATTAGACTAAGTTGACAAATCAAAGCAAAGCTCTACGAGTGATTGCTTTTTTAATTGCCTAAGCCCCTCAAGCTTTAGAGGATTCGAGAATAGAAAAAAAGTTCCAAGACCTAAGCTTACTTAATGTGACCACTTGGATCGGTGGTGTCGACGAGAGTTGCCTACTTAGTCGGGGCTTGCACAACGATAGGAGTTACAGACTACCCTATAATCGGCTTAGGGCTATAAATTGTTCATGGCCCGGCTGCAGTCTCTGCTCCCTGTCGTACAAAATGGCCAACAAAGTGCAGTGGTTTCATCATTCCCCTATTCCATTTATTTTGGTTTCGTTCTTTTTTCAACAATTTACCACAATGATTAATCACCCGAACGAAGGCGTATTCCCAGCCCTCCTGCTGGTAATATAATATTTGTCATAGTTCGTAATTTAGATATATATTTTTTTGTTGTATCCTGAGGGGTGGAACAAAGCAGAGCATAAAAAACAGAATATGCTGAAAATTTTGCAGTCTGGTACAAAAAAAAAAAAAACATCAACTGCATATGTTGCACACAGTTCAAGTGCAGTCGAGTGGGGTGGCATTACGGGGTGGCAACTAGTTGGGTGGTGTCCGAGGTCGGGGCTTTCGGGCTTGTTTGCCCACCATTTGTGTACAGCCGGGGGGTGACCACGATGATATGTCCGGGTCTATTTGCTCAGTATCACCATCGATGTATCGAAGTATTTGTTTAACTTGAGGGTTGTTGCAATGCGAATCGGTCGTCCTTTCGTCCTTTTGAACTTGCAGTGCTTACGTTGGTGAGGTGTTTCTCGGATGAATGTGGTTTAGTTAACGGGGTGATATAATCTGGGTAACCAAATAGTTGACAGAAGGATAAGTAGTTTGGAATTAAAAGGGTGTCAAGTATGGCAAAGTTTGTTTAAGATTTGAATACTAGAGGGCTTCAAAAAAGTGGTTGTTAGGTTAATACAAATTTAACAAGATTATTATTTATTTTAAACTTCTGGTGGAAGGGATAGGAACTATGAATAGTTGTGCCATTCAAATTATAATACTTTCTTGGAGAATCTTGCTTCACACCTTTTCCCAATAATGTATATCACCTATTACACCTGGAGTTGAAAAACTTGGCCAATAACAAGCCACACACAAAGCCAATTTTTATGAACAAAGGTGAGGAAAATTAGCCTGGCTGAAATACAAGGTGGCCAGCATCCAATAATTTATTAGCCAGTATCGAATAATGCAGGCTAGATGACGACTTCAAAACTGCAGACTGCCAAGGACCTTCAGATTGCCGAGATAAACGGACATGCAAAGGGATGCGGGTAGCAGGATCAGATGCCAAACAAACGTACAAAGGACTAGTGTTTAGAGTAAACACAAAGGCGACCATAATACAATCATAATTGCATTTTTACAACAGACTGGGGATCGGGAACCGGGCGAGAATGTGCCGGATTCCATGGCAGGACAACAGCAACTATTG